ATTAAGGGTCAAAGTTTAATATTTAAGTTAAAATCCAATTTTAACGAACATATAAAAGTCATCAATTTTAAATATAATTTTAAATTAGTCAAACTTAAAAATTTCTGATCAAGATCCATTTGAAAATCAAATCTAAAACCATTTTAAAATTTAAATTCAAAACTCCTTTATTTTAAAATTGTATACAAGTCCCTTAATTTCTCAAATTGCAAGAATGCCTTTTTTCTAAAATTGTACATTGATCTAAGAATCTGTAATTGCAGGTGAGGGCCTGCAATTCTAGAAATTGCATAACAGGTCCCCGTCCCCAAAATCATTCCCGATTGAAAAACCCTAAAAGTTTTCTCCCTTACAATTGCATCTAGTGACGCCGGCAACGCGTCTCGCAACTGCGACACGGCCCACCACAAGCACGTCGACGTGTTGGCTTCCTTTACGGTAGCATAGTGCTGCAAGCTGCAACGTCGCAATAGTAGTCATTGCTGCTGCTGCTGTTAGAAGAAGAGTGACGCTATTCAGCCGCAATGGGCATCGTTGCAGCGTCGCCCGTTGCTGCCCCACCTGTGCGAGGGCCATTCTTGTGAGTGACAATGCGGCGACGACTGTTGTCGCCCGCTGCCTCTGTTCTAATTCTTCTTTTTTTATTAATTACTAGATACAAGAAAATAATAAACTATCAACTTTTGACCGTTCAAACATGCAAAACAGTTTCTAACAAATACAAAGAAGGCTCTGATACCATTGTTGGGAATTTACTTAACATCCACAACGGAAAATAAATTATTTTTCAATTCCTACCATGGATCTACTTTGTATTTAGATAGAAACTGTGTTTAGAATAAAAATTAGTCTGAATTGACCGAATGGGGGGTACCGAATGGTGTCCCACTCTCACAATGCGCGCGAGCCCCATGTGTATTTAAAAAGTTCGGTTTGTGGTCCCCACCTCCTAATGTGAGTGGGGTGTAAAAGATTTGATATAAAAATTCGGTACATGTAGCATAACCCTTAGAATAGTACATTTGATGAATTCTGCAAACTCGTTTGCTGTTTTTCAAATATGACAATCACGAACTACAATCCACATCTGTCATATTATCTAGCCTCCAATGAAAATCCACACATGGACCAAGCATGAAAACTAGGATTTTCTCTCTTTTCTTGTGCTAGCAAGAGTAATAATAATGATGTATGTATTTTCAAGCCCTAGCAACCTATTAATAGAAGTTCAAGTGGGCATGATCCATCTATTAAACTTAATCCAATCCGGTCCAATATTTAATTAATCCAATTAATTAATTCAACCATATTAATAAGTAACCCAATTAATTAATTATTCAACACTTGTTAATTAATTAATTGACGAATATCAATCTTTTGGTTCTCCTTTTGTGTGTGGCCCATCAGGTCCCTATCACGATATCTAATGATGTGAATTATTATTTGATCTAATCAAAATTGATAAATTGAAAGGGGGCATCAACAATTCACATTCGTTGTCCCAAATTGACATCTAGCAATATGTAAGGGTAATACATGTAACGGGAAATGTCACGTGCTATAACAAAACTAAACAGTTCGTTTACCTTGAAACTATAATCTCTTCGTCAATATGATCCGATTAATTACAAGATATTAAGTGTAATACCCAGACCAGGAAAGTTTAAAAGATTTGATAGGTACTACTCATACCAACAAGGTGTACCTTCTTTTTCGGAAGTCCATCATTATTATTTCTACAGTAAAGCTTGCTTGGCTTGGAGCAATTCTATGATGGGTGACCCCCTGGGAAGTTTTCTTGGGGAGTGTGCGAGTGAGGATAAAGTATGCTGAAAAGACCCGTGTTGGTATAGTGGGGACAGTACGTCGTCGATCTAACGGTCGGGACAGCCCGTTAAGTGGGACCCGGGTCGTTGCATTGAGTGTGTCAATCTCGATTATCGATCATAGCTTTCATCCCACTATTAAGTCAATGTAAGTTGAAAACTCCTTTTTGGCTTGTGAGTACACCTTAGCCAAGGATTTCATTATTACCTAAACAGGAAAAAATGTAGATCAAAAACTCTTACTATCTAAGAGTGCCGAATCCTCAATTGATCATTCACAACCTTCATATAAATCATGACAT